TATACATTGGAGGCCAGAGAATTATTTATTACTCTGATTTGGTGGCTAAAATTACAAGGAAAATTTCCGGATGGCAATCTAGAATGTTAAGCTTTGGGGGCAAAGCCACTATGGTGAAACATGTCCTCCAATCAATCCCCATACATACTATGTCAGCTATTTCTCCTCCTAAAACCACCATAAGATATATGAAGCAAAGCTATAGCTGATTTCTTTTGGGGCTGGGATAAAGAAAAAAGGAAATATCATTGGGCTTCTTGGGATAAATTGAGTCTACCTTATGACGAAGGAGGTATTGGAGTAAGAAAACTTGAAGATATTTGTATCTCTCTTCAAATTAAGAAATGGTGGATTTTCAGAAGTAAACAAACATTATGGGGACAATTTCTAAGAGCTAAATATTGTCAAAGGGCTCATCCGGTGGCCAAAAAGCTGGATACAGGACAATCCTTGAATCTGGAACATTATGATGAGGAACAAAGGTATTGCCGAGACTCAAATCAAATGGAAGATCAATTCGGGTAATAGCTCCTTTTGGTGGGATGATTGGTTGGGAGAAGGCCCCCTAGCCTCCTATTGCACACATGTTACTAGTCTTAACACCACCAAAATCTCCCAATTTCTGGTAGGGGGAACATGGAATGAGACTATGGTGAGGCAATGGGTGCCCCCTCTTTTGGTTCCAAAAATCTTGAGCTTCCCCATTCATTATCAAGAACAGATCCCTGATTAGGCAATCTGGAAACTCACTGTCGATGGTCCATTCTCTTGCTCATCAGCTTGGAAAATTACTAGACATAAAGGCACCAAGAGCATCATCAACAAAGGCATATGGCATAGACACCTTCCTTTCAAGATTTCATTCTTAGCTTGGAGGGCCTTGAGGAACAAACTTCCAACTAACGAGAAGATTACCAGCTTTGGAAAGGAAGCTGCTCGCTGCTACAGAACTGGTGAAGATAACATAGATCACATTTTTGTATCTGGCCATTTTGCTAACAACATTTGGAGTTTTTTCTCTGCAGCTGCAGGTATACAGCACGATCACATCCCTATCAACATGCTGCTACTGCGGTGGTGGAGACAGGAACACAAAAGTGAAGTACAGCACCTGCTGAACCAGTTACTTCCTCTGATTATTATCTGGAACTTATGGAAAAATAGGTGTGCTGCAAAATATGGTGCAAAACAGTCCAGTACAGCTTGAGTCAAATTTCTAATTTTTAAAGACACTACTCACCTCCTCAACACAGCATTTCCTTACATTCAATAGGCCAATAATTGGATGCATTTCCTTACATTCAATGGGCCAATAATTGGACTGATTTATACAGAATGGTGGAGAAGTGTAGACAGGAGACCATGGTTAGAATTGTGAAATGGGAGAAACCTTGCCAACCTTTACTTAAACTTAATACGGATGGTAGTGCAATCAGTAATCCTGGACAGATTGGTGGAGGGGGAATTTTGAGAGACCATCTGGGTAGGATGATTTATGCATTTGCTATACCCCTAGGAACGGGTACCAACAACCAAGCTGAGCTGCAAGCTGCCAGCCATGGTATTTTCTGGTGCATCCAACATGGATATAAGAAAATACATCTGGAAATGGACTCTGAACTGGTCATTAAATGGCTCTCAAAACAGCTCGCGCTTCCCTGGAATCTACAGCAGTACATCAGAGAACTACAACATGATGTCCAACAATTAGAGCAATTCAAATGCACACACACCTACAGAGCGGCAAACAACACGGCTGACCATCTATCCAAATTCAGCCATACTTCAGATATCATCCAGCACTTCTACATCAAGGAACAACTTCCTACTTTAGCAAACGGAAGCTTCATTCTCGAAAAACTCGACATGCCAACCTTCAGGAGAAAGAGAAGGAAACGAATCAACAGACCTCCCTGATTTTAAATTTATTCCTATGAAATGCCTGTATAGGTTTTATCTTCTAGGTTTGCATTCTTGTCTTACTTTTGTAAGGGGAGAATCTCCCTTATTTATGATTTCTAGATTCTTTGTATCGAGAGGAGTGCTCTCTTTTAGGTGCTTAGTTTCTAGATTTTCCTTTTTTAGAATGGGGATAAGTCGACTATCCTTAATAGGAAGGTCGACTAATGAACAACCATAGGATTGGAGGTTAGGTTTATGTCCCCCTCCTTGTATTTTGTTTGTTTTTATTTATGTTAAGGCCTGGGGGTGTTGCTAAGCCCCTGACCCCCCTAAGGGTCGTTCAAATAATTTAAAAAAAAAAAAAAAAAAAAATCTAAACTCTAAACCCTAAACCCTCAACCTTAAAACCTAAACCCTAAACTCTACATCCTAAACCCTAAACCCTAAACCTTAAACCCTAAACCCTAAACTAGAAACCCTAAAGCCTAAACCTTAAATGTAAACTCTAAATCCTACACTCTAAACCCTAAACCATAATATTAAACTCAAAACTCAAAACCCTAAACTATAAACCCTAAGCCCTAAACACTAAACCCTAAACCCTAAACCATAGATCCTAAACCCCTATACCGTTAACCCTAAACCCTAAACCCAAAATCAAAACTCAAAACCCTAAACTCTAAATTCTAAACCATAAATCCTAAACTCTAAACACTAAACCCTAAACCCTAAACTCAAAACCCTATACCCTAACCCTACACCATAAACCCTTAAGCTGATACCTAAATAGTAAACCCTGAACCTTAAACCTTACCTTAAACCCTAAACCCTGAACCTTAAACCTTAAACCCTAAACCCTGAACCTTAAAGCATAAACCCTAAACCCTAAACCATAAACCCTAAACCCTACACCATAAACCCTAGATCCTAAACCCTTAGCCCTAAACCTTAAATCTGAACTCTAAATCCTAAACTCTAAACCCTAAACCCTAAATACTAAACTTAAACCCTAAACCCTAAACCCTAAACCCTAAACCCTAAACCCTAAACCCTAAACCCTAAACCCTAAACCCTAAACCCTAAACCCTAAACCCAAAACACTAAACCCTAAACCCAACTTTATATACTAAACTCAAAACCCTAAACCCTAAACACTAAACCATAAACCTAATCCCTAAACTCTAAAAAGAAGAATACTAGAGCTGATCAACAATAGTCATATAAGTTTAATTTTCCTAGAATTTCTAGCAATTTTGATCGACAAGGTCCTAAATCGAATTCCAATAATGCTAGAATTGAACGACCCCAACATTTTTATCCTTCTAAAAATGATCAAGTAGTTGAACCTTCCCCTTATACAATAGTTCAGACTTATGCCAATCGTCTTAGACATAATCAAGCCACAAGTGTTGTTACCATTAGCTTGACAGCTTCAATTACCACTAAACAAGGTCTCCCTGCTGTCCTGTATATGAAAGAAGAGGTAATTAAAGATTTAGCTGTTGCGTGTAAATATACTCTTATTGGGAAGTTCAGTTACACAATGCCGAAAGTAGAGCTCATTAGGAAGAATTTCATTTTACAAACTCAATTATCTGGTGGTGTTAAGATTGCACATTTTAATTCGCGACATGTCTATATTGATCTTGATAACGAACTGGATTATAATATGGTTTGGACTAAGCAAATGATGAGTATAGCTGGACAGGTGATGAGAATTCAAGCATGGACTCCTAATTTTACACCAGCTGAAGAAACTCCTGTGGTTCCAATATGGATTTCATTACCGAAATTACCTTGGCATTGTTATAATAAAGAGTTCGTTACTGGCCTACTGTCCCCTATTGGGAAGGTTTTATATTTAGATTCTGCCTCTATTAAAAAGACTAGGGGTAGTCAAGCTAGGGTGAAGGTGCAAGTTGACCTTACTCAAAAGCGACCTCCTTATATTTGGATGGGGTATATAGGGGAAGATATTACTGATGGGAGATGGCAGAAAATAGAGTATGATAATATCCCTGACTATTGTTTCTACTGCAAACATCAAGGACATGTGGAGAGTGACTGTACCATAAGGCAAAAAGATGAGGAGAAAAAAAAAAGGGAACTGGAAATTGTTAGAAACAAGAATACTAAAGACATGGACAATAATCCTCAACAATCTAAAGGTCATAAAGAAACAGGTTCAAAAGAAGATGCTAACAAAAATCCTTACACTCAGCAAAGAGATTAGGAACATATGTATAACCAGCAAGAGAAGCAGTGGCAAATCCAAAAGAAGAGGAACAATAATTCACAGCAGGCACCCAGGGGTAACACTAGTCAGACAGAACAGTCCACCAAACAAATAGGTACAATTGCTATCCCTACTCAGAACACCTATATTAATCTTGATGTGCAAGAGACACCATCTACCTTAGAGACAATGGACAAACACACTGGCAGCAAGAGTGATAGAAGACATCAGATAGAACTACAGCAGCAGCAGGAACAGAGTGAGCAAAAAAGGAATGCAGCAAAGAGTACTGGTAAGAACAGCATCAAGGGAAAGGAAGTCATTACAGGGCCTGCTTCTATAGGTATTGACTTAATGCTCCCATCCCCTGCACCCCTTGATAATATTGTTAATATTGTTGAGAATGTTGTCGAGGAAGCTGTTGGAGGTATGGCTAGGAGGATACAGGAGACACCTACTAAATTGCAGGAAGGGGTGACCAAAGGGAAGGGGGAATTACCTCATGTTGTACATGAGGATGTGGCTGAATATAGTAGTGACTATAGAGATCCTAATACCCCTATTTCGAGTTGCAACCCTACTAGGTAGCAAGGTGGTCTTGATACTGGTCAACAGGAAGACGAGTTCAATAATAAATCAGGAGGCAGGTTGAGTAAAAAAAAAGATGCTATAAAAAAGAAACAGACTGCTGATCAGGCTTCAGATAGGGGAATACAAACAGAGGAACAAGATGTCAATAAGGATAAATTTGATAGGCCACCTCAAGATGATTATGGGGTTTTGAATTTTAAGGATGAAGTGGATTCTGATAATCAGTCCATTGATGAATCTGGTGATGAAGAAGAAGATAACAGCAATCAGCCTCCTCACAATTTTGGTTCCACCTTTAAGGAAAAATGGCCTAAGGAAGTTCAGGAACTTTCTTCAAAACAAGGTCTATCCCCAAGAGGTAGGAAACAAAACAGACAAAATAATCGACAAACTACCAGTACATCTGAAACCTCTAGCAGGCCCAATACAAGGTCTAAATCCAAAGGGTTTTGAATGATTAAGGCTTTATGTTGGAATGCTAGGAGTATCAATACTCAACGCTCTTTGGAAAGGCTCCAAACTCTCAAGAAATTGCATAACTTAACTCTGATTGTTGTTCTCGAACCATTTACTGACAATTCTAAAATCAACATGGTGAGAATTCAACTTCAAATGGACCATGCAGCCAGTAATCCTAATTGTAAAATTTGGCTATTCTGGTCTAATGAAATCACTGGTCATACTCTGGAAAATCATGAGCAACATATTACAGGCAATTTCAAGCACGCTGATCTCAATGAGCAATTCATGATATCCTTTATTTATGCTAAATGAAAGGAGCATCTGAGGAGACCTTTGTGGGACAGGCTTTTATTTTATTCTAGCACGGATATACCTTGGTGTACAATTGGAGACTTCATTGTTATCACATCTATAGAATAAAAACTTGGGGGAATGCCTTACAACATGAACAAGAGCTTTGAGTTTCTTAGTGTGATAGAAGCATGTGGTTTGACTGATTTAGTATACACAGGGATCCCATTCACATGGTGTAATCAAAGGGATGCACAAGCTAGAGTATGGAAGAGATTAGATCGATCCATGGTTAATGATAAATGGTCAGAGGTTATGCCTCAAACTACTATTAAACATTTATCCTCTGTTGGTTCTAATCACTGTCCTCTGTTGATGGAATTATCCAAGACAAATGAGAGGCCTACAAAATACTTCGAGTTTTTACATTTTTGGGTTGAACATGCCACATTTATGACAACAGTTCAACATTGTTGGGAAAAGGGAGTTACTGGCAATCCAATGTGAAAATTGAATCAGAAAATGAAGAGATTAACCTCTCCTCTTAGCAACTGGTCTAAACAAGAATATGGAGATATTTTTAAGAAGGTTCGGGAGTTTGAGGAGAAAATCAGAAAATCTGAAGAGGATCTTATGACAGACAACACTGAAGCCTTTAGACAGAATTTACATCATCTGAATGCAACTTATATCAGGTATTTAAAAATGGAGGAATCTATCCTTAAACAAAAGACACAATTACAATGGTTTAAGGAAGGTGATGCCAATACCAAATATTTTCATGCTTTGATGAGAGGTAGAAGAAGGAGGTTGTTTCTGCATAAGATTTGTACTGCAAATGAGGTGTGGATACAGGGTGAGGAATAAATAGCTCAGGCAGTTTGTGACTATTATCAACTTATATTTTCTGGACAGAATGACAGAATAGATGAAAGAACCCTTCATCATATTCCTACTCTGGTTACTCTTGAGCAAAATGAGATGATGCAAGCAATGCCTACTTTAGAGGAACTCAAACAGGCTGTGTTTGGCATGAATCCAAATTCAGCAGGAGGTCCAGATGGTATGGGGGGCAAGTTTTATCTAGCTTGCTGGGGTATCATTAAAGAAGATTTATTGGCAGCTGTACAGTCTTTCTTTTGTGGTCAGATTATGCCTAAGTACATGTCCCATGCATGTTTGGTTTTGCTTCCCAAGACTGAATAGCCTACCAGGTTTACAGAACTGCGACCTATTAGTCCTAGTAATTTTACTAATAAGCTAATCTCCAAAATTTTGAGTATAAGATTGGCTAATGTTCTGCCTCTTTTATTATCACCTAATCAGTAAGGGTTTGTCAAAGGCAGAAGCATTTCAGAAAGTATTATGCCTGCGCAAGAAGTAACTCATGGCATTAAAAAACCCCATATAGGAAGTAATGTAGTTATCAAGCTTGATATGACCAAGGCATATGATAATGTGTCTTGCTCTTTTACATGTTTGGTACTAAGGACATTTGGATTTGGGGAAGTCTTTATTGATTTAGTTTGGAGGCTTATGAGTAATAATTGGTATTCTATAATCATTAATGGTCACAGACATGGATTTTTTCATTCCACTAGAGGACTTAAATAGGGTGACCCTTTATCACCTGTCCTATTTATTTTAGGAGCAGAGGTTCTGACAAGGATGCTTAATTCTCTTCATCAGATCCCAAGCTTTAAAGGTTTTTTCATGGAACCTAAAGGGCCTCAGATCAATCACTTAAGTTTTGCAGATGATGTAATTGTGTTTGGTTCTACTAACAGACAATCCTTGAAGATGATTATGGACATTTTGAGGGAGTATGAACAGAATTCAGGCTAGCTTATTAACAAAGAAAAGAGCCATTTTATGGTCCCAGACACTACCTCACAGGACATCATTCATACCATTCAAGATGTTACAGGTTATTCTTAGAAAAGTAGTCCTATTACTTATCTAGGATGTCCACTTTATATTGGTAGGCAGAGGATCATTTACTATTCTCACCTAGTTGAGAAGGTCTCCAAAAAGGTATATGGCTAGCAGACAAGAATTCTGACTGTTGGGGGTAGAATTACACTAATCAAACATACTTTACAATCTATACCTATACATACTATGGCTGCAATCTCCCCTCCCAGCACTACTATTAAATATATTGAGGCTCTTATTGCTGATTTTTTCTGGGGAAGAGATTAAGATAGAAGAAAATACCATTGGGCCTCTCTTGAAGCCTTGAGTTTACTTTGTACAGAAGGAGGGGTAGGGCTGAGAAGACTCACTGATATATGCACCTCTTTACAATACAAGCAATGGTGGACTTTCAGGACTAAGGACACTTTATGGAGGCAATTTCTTAAATCCAAGTATTGTCAAAGAGCTCATCCAGTTGCCAAAAAGGTGGATACTGGACAATCGCTAATGTGGAATTACATGATGAAAAACAAGATTACAGTAGAAGATCATATAGGATGGAAAATCAATTCTGGAACCTGCTCATTTTGGTGGGATGATTCGTTAGGAGTAGGTGCACTAGCTAATTATACTACGTCTATCTGAAGTCTCAATAATGCTACTATTGCACATTTTCTAGTAAATGGAGAACGGAATGAAAGGAAATTGAGGCAACAGGTTCCACCCCTTCTTGTTCTTTATATTTTAAATACTAAGTTTCAGTTTCTGCAGGGGGTTACAGACACTGCAGTGTGGAAACATACTGAATCTGGAAAGTTCACTTGTACATCAGCCTGGGAAATTTGCAGAAATAAGAAGGATACTACAGTCACTCATTCTCAAATTTGGCAGACATATTCCTTTCAAGATGTCTTTTCTTTTATGGAGAGCACTACGATATAAATTGCCAACCAATGAAAAATTAGCAACGTTTGGGGTGGAGTCTGTGAAATGTTTCTGTTGTATTCAGCGTGGTTGGGATGAAGTGAATCACATTTTTATTCAAGGACATTTTGCAGCCCATATCTGGAAGTTTTTTGCAGGTAGCATGGGGATCGCTTATCAGCAGACCTTTCTGATTGATTATCTATTGCATTGGAGAGGTATTATAGGGAAGAATGAAGCACACAAAACAATTATACAAACACTTCCTATAGTAATTTGCTGGAATTTATGAAAAATAGATGCTCGTCTAAATATGGAGGAAAGAAATCTAGTATCCTTAGAGTCAAATATTTGATTCTCAAAGACATGCTTCTAATTCTGAATTCTATTTTTCCTTACCTTCATTGGCCTGTGATATGGCCAGAAGTCGTGGACTGTGCTGAAAAATGTCAGCAGGATATAAGAATTACATTAGTTATGTGGAAAACTCCTCCTCCTAGTAGATATAAGTTGAATACGGATGGTAGTGCTTTGCACAATCTCGGGAAAATTGGAGGGGGTGGCATTTTAAGAGATGATCATGGGGTCATAATTTTTGCTTTTGCTATACCTCATGGTGAAGGGACTAATAATCAGGCTGAAGTGCAGGCTGCCTGTTATGGTTTAAACTGGTGCATACAGCATAGTTACGATAATATTATTTTAGAAGTTGACTCTGAATTACTAACTAAATGGCTATTGCAGATTTCTAGTCCCCATTGGAGAAAACACGGGTATATACAGCAATTACAGACTTATGCTAACCAATGTATGTTTTTTCGGTGTCTCCATACTTACAGAGAGGCGAATAGTACAACAGACCCCTTGGCCAAACACAGTCACAAACACGATATTGTACAACATTATTACACTCCTTAGCAATTGCCTCAAGCAGTAAAAGGGAGTTATTTGTTAGAGAAAATGGGAGTACAAAGTTTCAGAAGAAAGAAGTTGAAACGGCTCAAACAACCTCCTTGAATGTATGCTCAGCTCAAGCAGTAAAGGGATTTCAATCTGGCAGGAGCTATCTGTGCATGTTGAAGGACAGTAGTATACCAAATAGATTCTCTAAAGCATAAAATTGGTTCAAAAGCCTTTGGTTCATGGACACATTCTATTCCATTTATTATTTATTTTGTAGATATAATAGTTTGTTTAGGATTAATTTCAACTTTTGTAAGGGGAGAGTCTCCCTTATTTATGTATTATTAGTAACTTTGTATTAACAGAGGAGTCCTCTGTAGGTGCTTAGTTTAATAATTTATCATATCGTATAGGGTGGAGTTGACTAACCTTAGTAGGTAGGTCAACTTGTCCCGACTTAGGTTTGCAGGTAAGGTTTTTCCCCTTTCCTTGTATAATTTTGGTTTATATAAATGATAAGGCCTGGGGGTGATGCTCAGCCCCTAACCCACCAAAGGGTCGTTCCAATAAAAATAAAAATAAAATAAAAAATAAAAAACCTAAACCCCAAACTCTTAACCCTAAACCCTAAACCTTAAACCTTAAACCCTAAACACAAAATCCAAAACCCTAAATGCTAAACCCTTAACCATAAACCCTAAACCCTAAACCCTAAACCCTAGATCCTAAATCCTAAACCCTAAAACCTGAACCCTCAATCGTAAACTCTAAACCCTAAACCCTAAACAATAAATCTTAAACTCTAAACCCTAAACCCTAAACCCAAATCCGTAAACCCTAAGCCCTATACCCTAAACCATTAACACTACATCCTAAGCCCTAAACCCTAAATACTGAACCTTAAATCTTAAACCCAAAACCCTAAATCCAAACTTTGAACCCTAAACACAAAATCC